TGGTCACGAAGGTAGGAAACCATACCTGCACCTGCAAAGAACAAACAGAACAGAACATAAAATTTGAAATAGTTCTGATAAGTTCTTGATTATAAGAAAGCATCTTGTACTTTTTATTGATTCTTGTTTAAGTGCATGACTGTATTCCCGCATGCGCACTTGTGCGTGGGCGGGTGCGTGCGTGGGCGGGAGTGCGCGTGGGTGGGTGTACGCGTTAGTGTGCACGTGTATGTGAGCGTGCGCGGTTGAGTACATTTGTAAGCAGGGCGTTCGTGAGTGCGCTCGTGTGCCGGCGTACGTTTTGATACTTACAACATCCGACTAGCATCAGCAAAAGGATTCCACACTTAAAATACATGCCTAGCAAATGGAGAAAGATAAGATGCAGTCATGCAAGATTAGTTTCATTAATAGCCTTATTCCAAGCTGAAAAGGAAAGAAACTTTAAGTGTAAAAATTGAGTCAAACTATAAATTCAAAATTGGAGCTCTTAACCAGAAAAGCTACACTATTACTACGTCTAAAATGTCTACACAAAACGCTCTTTGTAAGGGTACTAATAGGCTTTATGGGTTTGAACAATTTTGAAGAATTTTTCTTCGTTCTAAGAATTGTCCAAGATTATGAATGCAAAGAGGAAAAGATCCGATCAGAAATACTTGCTAATGATAGCTAATGATAACAGTCTGCTGATAGGAAAAAAAAAAAAAGACAAGATGAGCAGCTGGCAACAACTCAAGGCAAATTTTATTCGTTCACGGAATTGTAGACAATAGTAAGAACCAAAACAGAGACAGTGGCTAAAGATAAGTTGCGTAAACTGCTCTAAACAAAAATAGCAACGAGCGGTTCCTAGCGGATAGTGCGAAGTAAGCAAGCTTCACTTAACGGTTACAATAAGGCTTATATCTATAACGCTGCGTAATACCAGAGCTCCTACGCGCCAAAGGCGAGTGAGCGGAGCCCTGTACCTTACACATTTGACGTTTAGCAAGTCATGGAGGGACCGGGCAAGGTCTTCAATTGCTGAGGCAACGTTCACTGGGGAAAGGTGAAAGAAGTCGTTGGTGCCTAGCTGTAATATAACTATGTCGAGCTTGAACGATTCAACCACAGAAAGATCAAATTGGACAGTCTTGAGTACTGTCCTTCCCCCGACCCAGTGCCATTTTAACTCTATGCCGTCAAGAATATGCAAGTTAGCATCTAGATCGGTACTCCGCCCTACATATTCGCGTAAACGGTGAATAAAGGAATGACCAAGCATCAAAACACGTGTTACCGTCATATGACCGCTTGGAGCACAATATTTGTAAACTAAGATCTAAAGAGGGCACTGAAGAGTCGAAAATGAGAACAGGTACTTGCCTGAAAATTCTTGGAGGTAGTGTAGAAAAAAATTTCCTTCCGAGATAGCGACGTTACGAGGGCCAAGGGAAGAAGGCCGCATAGCTCGGGAGAAATATCTTTTATCCTTGAGGGAACGCCCCCTCTCCCTCCTGGGGTGATACTTGACAGAAACCAGGCCTACGGACCATTGCGTGACCGTCATGGCTCGACAAAAATAACATTATGCGTGAACATAATGTTTGATTTTTCGCACCGTAGTACAACGCCAATTACTTGGAACGTTAGTCTTATAAATTTCTGTTTTGCATCCAAAACATGCAGTAGAACTCACCGTTTACTGTTGCCAAGTCCTCGTCCTACAGATGTCCTTCGAAGTTGAAGTCTTAGACTAAGTGAAACAAAAGCATTGGCGCGGAATATCTTATAAGTGAAGCGCCAGGCTTTTTGTCCGATCAAGCGAAACGGCTTGGACGCCGTACTTTTTCTTCCGTTAATTTGCACGCCACACAACATTTATTTATATTTCAGCATAGGAAGGGCTCGCAACTTTTGCCAATAAATAAAAATTCTATAAAAGTACCTCCCCAACTAGGCAGGGTATAACGCGGAAGGAGTTTGTGAAATGGCATTTGACATGACTTGCGTAATGGCATAATTATGTGGAATGTGATATATGCAGAATGGTCTGGAAATTAATTCAACTTGAAAGCGCGCCCTTGCTACAGTTCTGATTATCTTGGATTATTAATCGCGTCTGACAGCCTAAAGAGTGAATAATCACAAGTCAGTTACCGATCTCGACCACAACAAAATGTTGAAAAGCAATTCCCGCGCTGTGCAGAGTACTAGTTCTGTGCATAACTTTAAAATATTTCTCGTAATGGCAGCTGCTTTTCAACATTTTGCACGCTTGCGTTCTAAGATATAGACCTATAGAGAATTACTCAGTGTAGAAAGGGCGCGCTTTTTATAACGCTCGCGGCTAAGCTTTTCTCCGACATCTTGAACTCATATTTGATGCTCAGCTAAGATTGACAGCCTCTTACAAAATGTTGCCAAGCAAACGTTCCGGAATGTTTGTCCCGTAAATTGATAATAAAAACAGGTTTTCAATTTGAAAACGAAAGGGACCAATATTGAGAAGAAACAGAAATGAAAGGACGGAAGAGAACAGAACAGAAGAGAACAGAAGAGAAGAGAACAGAAGAGAAGAGAAGAGAAGAAAAGAGAAGAGAAGAGAACGGAAGGGAAGAGAAGAGAAGAGCAGAGAAGAGCAGAGAAGACAAAACAAGACAAGACAAGACAAGACAAGACAGGACATGACACGAAAAGATAATTATGATCTTATTGCTATCTGGTTTTTGTAAGGCGTATGATAAAATTTAACCCTTTACGCCCTTAAATTTATATCGCCCTTTTTGTGGTCATGGGTGCTACAAAAGTTTGTGAATGTAACATAACTTTAATTAATGCAAGAGGTAGTTTTCTGGAGAATTGGATGTTGATTGTAGCCTCTAACGTAGGATATCCCATTATTCCATCAGTAATTATGCCTTTTGTCAAATTTGTATAATTATCATTAAATAATTCGGTAAGCTCGCTTAAAATATCTTGCTTTCGTTAAAAAAAGA